TGGACATCCTAAAGCACTGGGCCTTTCAGTAAAGTGCATTGTTAAAGTGTGACAAGATGGATGTTTGGACCCAGCCTGGTGGAAAACCTGATCCCACTTCACACTTAATGGACTGGCAATGCCGATCCTGAGGGAGCTGAGCAACTGTAAACTGCCGGGCCAAGATGCTTAGCCAACATTTCCACCATCAAAACAACAGGGCACGTTTTCAAACGGGCCGGAGGTGGAAGAGAGAGCTGTGGAGATACCAGCTCATCTGTGTTCTCTGCTTGTGTTTTAGAATTTGCTGACATGATAATGTTGGTTGATAGCGATCATGTAACATCTTAGTTTTAATATCAGTGTTGGAAAAGCAATGCACTTTGCATAATCAGGTGGCTTTTTTCAAATGTACACACATCATGGTCATGCACAGACATTTACATTGCATTGCAGTTGGCAGATGATTTTATTCAAAGTGACTTGTACTGATTATACATTTCTCAATCCTTGCTCTCCCTGGGAATTGAAGCCATGACCATTGCATCGTTAGTGCAATGCTCTGCTGGTTGAGATACAGGAACGCAGTGGCTTTTATGAAACTCATGAAAGTTTGAAAGAAGGATTCTGTCCTACACAGTTCATACTTTATTTCAGAAAATTACGATAATAGACAAACTGGAGTTAACTAGCAGACTGCAGTAGTGCAATTATAATAATATAAACTATTTGTGCTGCCTGGTGTGCAGAACTGGGGTTATTAGGAGTCCAAGCTATGAAGATGCTGGAACTCTACTGTATTTGTACTATTTTGCCAATATTTATTTTTCTTCCTTAAAAGTGTCAGGATGTCAGAGAACGTCAGTCTAAGAGATCTCAAATTTGATCACATAGTAGTGTTGGTTGATAACAATTTTATGTCAGATTAGTTGTATTGTCAGTGTTTTAAATGTAATGCACATTACATAATCACATAACAATTTTTAAATAATTATTAAACGACACTTTTTAAATGTACACCATAATAGCCATCAGGGCTGTGCACAGAAAGTATTTACATTACATTTGGCAGATGGAAAGTTTGAAAGAAGGATTCTGTCCTACACAGTTCATACTTTATTTCAGAAAATTACGATAATAGACAAACTGGAGTTAACTAGCAGACTGCAGTAGTGCAATTATAATAATATAAACTATTTGTGCTGCCTGGTGTGCAGAACTGGGGTTATTAGGAGTCCAAGCTATGAAGATGCTGGAACTCTACTGTATTTGTACTATTTTGCCAATATTTATTTTTCTTCCTTAAAAGTGTCAGGATGTCAGAGAACGTCAGTCTAAGAGATCTCAAATTTGATCACATAGTAGTGTTGGTTGATAACAATTTTATGTCAGATTAGTTGTATTGTCAGTGTTTTAAATGTAATGCACATTACATAATCACATAACAATTTTAAAATAATTATTAAACGACACTTTTTAAATGTACACCATAATAGCCATTAGGGCTGTGCACAGAAAGTATTTACATTGCATTTGGCAGATGCTTTTATCGAAAGCACCTTAGATTGGATTCAAGATACACATTTTAGCTATTCTTGCCATTTTTGCTTGAACTCATGACCATTGTATTGTTAGTGCAATGCTCCATTGTTTGAGCTACAAGAAGGCGGTGGCTCTATGTTTCAGAGAAGTGCCATAACAGACAAATCACATTTAACTAGCAGATTGCAGTAATGCAGTTGCAATAATAGAAACTATTTATACTGTCAGGTGTGCAGAGTTGGTGTTATTAGGGTCCTCTGAAGATGCTGGAACTTATTGTATTTGCAAAGTTTTGCATTATTATTATTATTATTATTACATTTTCTAATTATTTATTTATTTTTGCTCTAAAAGTGACTTGGTGTCAAGAGACCGTCAGTTGTACAGATCTCAATGGTAATGTTGGTTGATAAAGATCATATATCTTATTAGTTTTATCATCAGTGTTTGAAATGTAATGCACAATCCATAATCAGATGACTTTTTTCAAATAATGAGTAAAGTAATACATCACTTTTTAAATTTGCACCGTAATAGCCATCAGGGTCATGCACAGACAGTATTTACATTTACATTGCATTTGGAACTTGCGTTGTATTCAAGATACACATTTTTATCAGTTCTTTGATTCCCTTGAGATTCGAACCCCAGACCTTTGCTTGGTTAGCACAATGTTTTATTGTTTGAGCTATACAGGAAGGTGGCAGAAATATGTTTCGGTTAATTGTCATAACAGACATATCACAGTTAACTTGCAGATTGCAGTAGTGCAATTACAATAATAGAAATTATTCATGCTGCCTGGTGTGCAGAGCTGGTGTTATTAGGGGTCCAAGAATAGGAAGTATATTGTATTTGTACTGTTTTGCTAGATTTTCTTGTTCTGCCCTAAAAGTGTCAGTCTTAGAGATCTCAATGATAATGTTGGCTGATATATCAGACGTTTGCAGTGAAATGAGATGACAGACATGTACCAAGACGGGATGATAACTAGCCCTGTTTCAAACTTACAAAAGTTTGTAAGAGAGACTAACTTACACAGTTCACATAAGGTGCTGGAACCCAATTGTACTTGTACTGTTTTGCCAATTATTCTTCTTCTGCCCTAAAAGTGTCTGGGCGTAATTCGTATACGTCTCAAACTTGGTGGGATGTTTCCAAATCCCCTTGAGTATTCAGATGTCCCCACACATGTGTCAGACATTAGGTGGCAATATGATGAGTACATTTGTGTTTTAGGCATTAACTACTGTGTCAAAAAAGATGAATTGTATGTTATTGTTCAGTTGTAAAATACTTTTGCTGCTATTGAGGTGGGATACGATTAAAGTTAGGCACAGGTTTGATGGTCTAGGGTGCGTTTCCCAAAAGCATCGTTAGCTAACTATGGTCGTTAGTTCCATTGAACTCTATTGGTAATGACAGAACTTTTGACCATAGTTCCTTTTGGGAAACGCACAATCATGTAATTATACTGTAGATGTAACTACAGATATTGATTAAAGATGTAATTACAAGCAGGTAATTTTAAACAAGTAAAGTGTAAATACATATACGTACAGTAACTGCACAATAAGTGCATTGTGATTAATGATTAATTTAAATTATAGTACATAGTAGTTGATGAAACTTAATATAAAGTGGGTCCTGAATTTTCTGTGAAACCAGCTCTTTTGAACTCCTTCTAGATCATTGGTCCAATTTGCAAACAACTTGGCATGCATCAGCGCAAAACCTTCCTGATAAGAATTTAGGAACAGAATTTTGATCTATAAAAGCATTCCAAATATGTAAGCCAATTAAATGGTCTGGCGTCATTTGATGCCACCTAATTGAATTGATGGGAATGACAGCTTAGGGGCAGGAATACTATGTTGTCCATATGGATAATAAATCCCTTTTGGTCTTTCAAATATTTTCCACCAGTTTTAATTATTTATTTTATTTTTTTCGGTCAGTTGTCTCTTATGGAAGTATGATGTATTCCTGTAAGTTGATTGATTAAACCCGAAATTATAGCATCAGTGGAGATTCCAGACTGTTTTTTTTTTTTTTTCAAAAACACATAATAGTTGCAATGATACATGGCACATGAGCCATCATTGCTTGGATCCTGATGATTGTTGTTTACGGCTACTGTATATTTTTACATTATGTTTGTGTTTGCCCTCGCCACATGACATATTCAGCACTAATAGGAATCACTATGGATGCATTAAGCCCCATACACTGTTGCTAATGTACACGTTAAATGCACTTTAGATACTTTTCTTGGCACAACATTTATCCGTGATGAGAAACTGCTCAAAGGCCAAATACATTTGTCTAGTACATAATTACATAATTAAACCAACAATTAAAAACACAGCACTCATGGTTGTCACTCTTCACACAATGAGGACTGGAACGAAGGCGCGAGGAGACGAGGGATAAACTTCAACATGGACTTTAATACAACGAACGCAGGGAAACAAACACAAGAACTTAGGCGTGACATCCAGGAAGATGATTCAACAACCGACAACACTAACTGAAAGGACTGGGGTTTTTAAACACAGGATAACGAGGGACTAAGGAGACACACCTGGAATCAAATGAACAATCAACATGAGGGAGAAACTGGGTCACATGGGGCAAAACACACACAAAACATGGAACGGAGTCTGACAATGGTGTTGTACTATTCCTCATTGGCATGTAGCTTTGAATAAAAACGTCTGCAGAATGAAAGGTTATGTTATATCCTCCAGTCAAGAGAAGTGATAGTCAAGTTACCTTTTCAAGGAAATGCATATTAAAGTACTTATGTGTTTATTTATTGACAGATGCAATTAAAAACCTTTAAAAATATAGTATATATACTATATACTGCCCCTTGTGAAAAAGAAGTGAACTTTAGCATACTTTTATAAGGTGTACTTATTACACAAATAATATACTTTAAAGTAAACACTTAAGTGTGAATTAAATGTAAAGTTTTTCAAAAACCAAAATGCATATTATTTGTAACTGATTTCAAATGCATTACAGTTTAAATTTACATTAAATGCAATTAGCCAAAGAGTGATTTTTGACCCACTTAAGTGAGACATAAGTACATCTTTATATGTAATTTCATAATTATTTCTGTTGTCTTTGAAATATGGTTAAAGTTACTGCTGAATGTACTGACAAACATTTAAACTAAAACATACTTTAATGTTGGTTACACTTTTATATAATAAAATACTTACATTTACACTATTATATAATAGAATATATTTAATTAGTTTTTTTTAACCCTTTGACGCGTACGATCACACCGGTGTGATCTATTTCGACCTCACTCAGACCGTCACCACGGTCTTACCTTGAATCACGGCATTCTGCTACACTTCCGAGACCTAATGTAAACAAAGTCAGGTGACTGACCCTGAGTGGTTGGTTCACTATAAAACATACGGGTGAACAAAGCACTTCCTCTTTGCCTTTCTCGCCTCTTCTGAGACCGGTTCGGAGAATCCGCGTGTATATGATGATATTGGAATATTACCCATTCAATCCATCACTATAGTGCAGGGGCCTGGTGCCCTTGAGGATTGCGGTATTTTTTTTCCCCTTTTTTCACTCTATATTTAGGTAAGTGGTTGGTGTTTATATTATTCTGAATTATGAGTTTGATATTTGTTTACAGATTGTATTCTGGCACTTTTGGAAGCGTACGGATTGGTAAGTAGCTTTTTTTGTTCTATTATTAATAAAACTACACATGCTTTTATGCTTCCTGGTCGCTACGTCACCCCGCCCGTGACGTCTCGCCCATCCATTGGACTGATTACACATGTGATTCAGAGCGTGGTCACTCTGGAGGCGTTCCCGTAGCATTTAGACGCAGCTCGAGTTCCTGAAGGGGAACTCTGAGTTTTTGGTTTCTGAACAGCTGAACAGAGTTAGTTTAATCCATTCTGAGTACGTTGACAGAGTTTAGCACGTGCACCACGACTTTGAAAAGCCATTATCAATGGAACTCCGAAATTATGATTCACCATGGCAACAGCACCCGACAAAAAGACTTCAGCATACTACGCAATACGTAACTTTAATTCTTAATCACTGTTATAATATCAGAGGTGAAAACTGGCAGAACAGTAAGTTATTGAACTAATCTTAATTTTCATGGTATCCCACGGGCAAAAAAGAAAAAAAGAAGAAAAAACATGGTAGCAGAAAAAATTTAACATAAAAACATAATTCAATCAAGTAAAGTTTCAAGTGTAAAAGGTTCATGGGTGTAGGCTACATGACTTTACAAACATTTGACATATTCAATAAATATCATTCAGTGTCTATTTCAGTGTGCAGTGGCTTTTTCCACATAGTCTAATGCTCTTTTCACATAATTAAATGTTCTCTAATCCAACATACATTTCTTAATTAGGGTAATGAAATAAACATTTGACTTCTATTCAGCCAATAGCAAGAAGGCAGAGACTCGTAAAATGGGGGGGGAGAACCTGCACCAGCACCACTGACAGATGAAGAGGAGATGGCCACAGTACCAATATTAAAATTCAACAGGGAAAAGAATAAGTGTTGCTTTTTATTTGTTGGAAATAAATATGACCAAATTAATTGTTAATAATTTGTGATTATTTAACAGCTGTGGTGGTGGTGGTTACGGCATATATCTCGCACTACCCTTCCATCTGGCATCCTTACATTCCATACAGTAATCAGTTTCATTTTTGGAAGGTGCAATGGTGAGAATATGTGTGTAATCAATGCATATGTGCAATATGTTATCAATTGAACGTCATTTAAAAGTGGTACTGCTCAAATAAATATGAATGTGGATATGGCAAAATAAAATAAAATCCTCTCCTGATGTAAATGTAACTCCCTGCAAATTAATGCAGCCTTATTAATAATAATCTACAGGATCCCGTGTAAAATAACATGCCATTTTTTGTCACATGTACAGTGTCTGCATGATGAAACTGAAAGTGGTGCGGTGAGAAAAAATAATCCTGTTTCCATTTGCATTAAGATAATTTTTCTTACCCCACTGGCAGATCATTTTACTTATTTCCCCCAGGAAACAAGACTAAATATTGTATTCTATTTTATATATATATATAGAAAATTCGTCTTGATTTAAGAATTTTAGATATTTATAGGCTACCTGGAATAAGGCAAGAATCTCAGCAATAAAAGCATTTTTGCAGCTTGAATGAATAAATGAATGAGGTATTTAAACATCGCTTACGCTTTTAAAAAATGGGGAGGATACCGAAAGAAACTCTGGGTTTACAGAAGAAAACCTGCTCCCGACCAAGTTAGGTTCACAGAGTAAGTTACTATGGTAACTTACCGAGAGGTTTAGTTTTGTCTTTTATTGGAACCAAAAACCCTGAGTTTCCCTTTTCTGGGGTTGCAAGACTCTGAGTTTTCAACAAAACCTGCTTTCTGGAATATACCCCTATTGTTCTGTGCGTTCACGCATAGAATATATGTCGGTACATCCTAATTGATCTAGTTTGTCTTAGTGACTGAATGAACTGAGAATTAACATGCTTGCACTGTGATACTACTGTTCGCAGTGGATTGAGTGAGATTTTATTTGGCTTTTGGTTGTGTTTGCACACATTACTTGCTAACAAATTCCTGTTCGCAGGAGTAAGGTATTTATATTGTGTGTGTTATTTGTGTAATGCTGTATGCAGCTGTACTGGATATTCAACAATCATGAGTCAACCATTGTGATGTTACTTTCATGCTACTTTGCATCCTCATGATGGTCACCGATAATCTGGTGTGTCGGACTTTTAATGCGGCCACACGTGCGGCCCGGTCTGGTAATGCACTAGCCATAATTTTGACTGCTCTGAGAAAAATTATAAGTCGGGAAGATCGGGACGTTTTAGGTTTGGTGGATGCAGCCCTTGCTACACATGCACAGCTTACTAGGGACATTGGCGCCTCTATGTCATCTGCAATACTTTCTCGTAAACAGATCTGGTTAGCACAAACCTCCCTGCCTGACACTATCAGAAAAGAACTGACTTACATGCCAGTTACTCCTGGTCGGGGTTTTCACCCAGATTCTCAAGCAATGCTTGACAAAGCAGAACAAACGCGTTGTAGAATAGAGTCAGTGCAGCGCACATTTGGTCGCTCTAGGATAACTAGACAGTCATATCAAGGCTGTCAGTCACCTCAGCCTCCCCACTTTAATCGGCCACAACCATGGGAGTTTGGTGGAAGACAGAATAGTAATTTTCGGAGATTTGATGACAGTCAAAGTGCAGGGGGGAACCATGGCGCAAACAGGTGGCTTAGTCCCGGTAATCAGTTAGGGATGCACCGCAGAGAAAGCGGAATCCCAGGGGCTCAGGCCCCCAAGGAGGGACTGCGTAGCAATACCAAAAGGGTGGCCGGAATGTGCTCCCAACTATGCCTGGACAGTTGGGAGGAAAAAATTTCAGACCATTGGGTACTGTCTACAGTAAAAAATGGTTACAGAATTCAGTTCCGGCATCGACCTCCGCCATTTTTAGGAGTACACATGAGTATGTGATATTTTTAGCATAACTCTATATAAATGCAGGTTTGAGCCAGATGTTATTTAATGCGGCAATTCGCTCTGCGACTCTGAATGCTTCTCTCTTCATGTTTGATGGCAGCAGCAGCAGAATAAGCGCTGGTAACAGCAGTTACTATGAGTGACAGGCCATAGCGGCGGGTCAATAGAGCACAACAGTTGGGCTCCAGAAGTCAAAATTCCATTCATTTTCTCCACAAAGAAATTTATATTTAACAATAACATATAAATCTTTTAAGACAGACATACCATGAGCTCTGGGGCTCCAAGTGATTTCAGCTTTTTTTAAATTGTGTTTAATAGCTGGTGAAGAATTAGTCGTAATCCTGAAGAGGCCTGTTCTTTGGATTCACCAATCAGAGAAATTGCTGTTACCATGGAAACAAGAACTGCATCAAAAGAGCTCATCATCCAATCAAGCATTGCAAATAATATAATGGAGCGGGACTTTCAACACTGTTAAACAACTTATATTTGAATAGACATCAGATACATTGTACTTAAGAAGAAATCAATAGTTTTAAATTGTACAATTGTTTGTGAGTCGATTCACAAAGCTTAATGAGATGAGTACTGCATTATGCCATCAAAGGAAGTACTGTTTCTTTTTTTTGGGGTGGGGGGGGTGTCTCCGACCGCGCCACTGATTTTCAAGTGTTTTTGCTTAAAGTTTGAGATTGTTTTTGAAATCAGAAAAATTAGCTGATATTTTTGCATCTCGCACCAAATAAAGACACATGAGGCTGATTGTATAGTGATTGGAAACAGTACTGAAACTAAAATAATTTATATTAATTAAACATAATTAATAATAATAATAATAATAATTACTAGAAACTAATGATTAACTGACATAAAATAAAATTGTTCAAGTAGCTACTAAAATAAAAATAAAAGTGAAAAATATAAAAATGAAATCTGTTTTAAAATATGAACATTATATAGTATATCAATTATACTAAAATAACACTGACTAGAACAGCCAAATTCCATTTAATTCATTTAAATAAATTGTTTAATCTATTTTTTTTTTTTTTTTCATTAAACGTGGCATCTAAGGACTGCTTCACAATTTTGTTTTGCTTTATTTCCTAATGTTTGATTTCTTTTATCTCTCTTGTCATATTCAGGGGTGATTTTTATGAAAGTGTGTCGTAGCACACATACATTTACTATACGCTTGCACAGACATTGAAACACAAAATACTGACATATTAAATGTATCTAAAATCTAATTCATATGAATATGTAAATATCTTGGAGACATACGTTTACAAATCAATACTGAACTCATGGAACTAATCAGTTAATTCTATCAATAATTAATTAGATTTTTCAATGTTTTCAATGCCATCAGCTGACACATTTACTCCTAATTAGAAATCATAACATTTCAGGATTACATAATTTTAAAAAAGACTACATTTTAAAACTGATGTGCTGTCAGAGAGCACTTTGAATGCAAGACCTCATCGTTTGGACTACGCTTCTGTAAATACAAATCTGTTATGTTTGTCTTTAAATGTAAGAAATAGTTAAGTTAAATATCTATAAAATAAATAAACTGCCACTGTATACAGTGGGGTTGAGGGAGATCTAAAATATATCTATAGTAAAAATGTAAATGCATTTAAAATATAAACAGAGTTATACTCTATAAATAGAGTTCAGATGCCAAGGTTTACAATTTTCTACTAAAATTTGCATTTTTCTCTGGCTCTATGTTTTCTCAGTTTTTGTTCAGTTATTTCACTTTAATGTCAATGAAAAGATCTTATTCTATTCCTTGTCATTAAAGTGAAATTACTGAAAGTACACATGATAAAAATGCTCATTTTAGAAGAAATTTTCAAATGGCACTTAGAGGCTTTTGCATCTGAACTCTTCAAATACATAATAATGCTGTCTATCTATGTCAGCGTCTGTCCAAACATACAAAACACATTTTTGTAAACAGCCTTTAATATCAGTTTCATGAGCATTTAATATCTTAAATTAGCTAATCAGTTTATAAATTAAATATGAATGAACTAGTCTTTCATTTAATTAATTCGCCAAGAATTTACACTAAAAGAGGCTATCACAAAAGAAGTACTTCTAGCACACTGAAGCGATTCTAATGATGTGTTCCCTTAAGGCAGAGCCGCGCTTTGTTTCTGTCTTTAACGCGCGATCGTGGGCCTTTGGTGATTTCAAAGCAGTGAGAGCATGAAAGCAGCGTGTCGCAGACCAACACCGCCTCCATTTACCGCTGCACAGCAGCTCTCTGGCTTCTGAAGATCTCTCTGAGGAACAGCAGCGCACGTGAGACAGAAGCTTGACTTTTCCTCCTCTCCGCGGCCGGTTGCGTCGGCTTTGATATCCCCTCAGAGTGTGTCAAGGTGGTCAGCATTAAAAGCGCCTCTCATTCACATTGACCTTTGCTTGATTCGGCTCGTCCTCGCGTCTCACAGCTCCGGCAGACTCGCCTCTGAAACAAAAGGGCAAGTGGCGGCCTGACACAAAGTCAATAGGGAAGACACAGCGGTATTTGTGCGTATTGTCAGGTGACCTCTTTGTTTACACTTTGAATGAAGGTGGCCATAAGATTGTGAGGATGGAGAGGCTTTGGGTTTTGTTGTGGTCGGTCCAGCTCTCTGGAGAAAAACACAAAAGACATGTGAATGCTTCACTACTGAAAATACACAAAGACATGACACACGGGATGATTCGAATTAAAACATGCAAATTGTATTGTGTGGCATTGTATAGCAATAACATTTGTGGTTGGTTGCGCTCTCGATGCCACTGCATCTCTGCAGGAGGGAAATATATTGTAAGAAGCATTTAAATTAAACATAAAACATACAGTATATTGTGAAATAATATTACAGCTTAAAATACCTGTTTTCTATGTGAATATACAGTATGTTAAAAAGTAATTTATTGCTGTGATCAAAGCTAAATTTTTAGCATCATAACTCCAGTCTTC